TCTTCATCCGAAGGCGGATGTACCCTCCTCCGCTAGTGGAAGAACCTACTTTTAACGTGTCTTACACCAGGCAACCAGTCAACACTGCGTCAGGTCAGAAACTGCTTATTATATAAGTTTAACTAATTTCATATATATGCTAAGGCATTAAAAAGGTTTTTTTCTTTTCCCTTTGAAAACTGTGGGACTGGCTAAAGGAAAGGTACTGCACTAAACCATGCAGCCATCGCCTCTGATGAATAAAATTCTACTGCACATCAGCAGCTTAAAGCAGTGGTTTTGAGACCAGGAATAACAGGACTGTTGCCTTCCCTTGTGTTCCTAATATCTTTAGAGCTACATATCAGTGAATAGAGGAAAGAAAGGAGACACTTTGCAGTGCTGACAAAATAATAGATATCCAAAATAAACAATGACATTTTCCTCTTGTGAATAAGTTGAAGGAAAAAAAAATCCAAGTGAGGTTGATACCATCTGGCAGAAGTGAAGGAAAGCTTAACATTTTCCTTGCACCACCTATTTATTGCAAGTCTTCTCTTCTTGATTTGCCTTCCATATTCTGCACTGTACTTTTTTGCTGCAGTGAAGCTTCTCTGTCAGAAGTCATTTTCCGTTCTGCATCTTTTTGGGGCTTTTTTTTTTTGCTTTTTTGGACACACATTTTTGCAGAGAATTCACGGGCTGGGGAGAAGGGACAACTAAACTAACTAAACCATACCTTTAGTCATGAAAAACAACCCCAAGGGTAGGTACACAAGGAACATCTCACAGCTAGATGAGCACAAGTATTAGGTTTAATTTTAGAGCATGGCTCGTTTGTCATGGCACCTCATGGGCAGACCAGGCAGATAGAAACAAGCCTAGGCCCTCAGGCAGCCTGCTTAATGCGACCTGGTTTCGAACTCTTGTTACTGCTCTTCAGACCTTGGAGCCTGAGATAGTCTCGCTGCAACCTGTTTTTTCCTGCTGGTTTCGCTGAGCTTGCAGTCAGTCTCTCAGCACTTCCAAGTGCTTTCCCCGTTTCTCTGCGTCTCCTCGTTCAACCTTTGCTGCATTCACGGCCTCCTTGCTTACGTGTCGGTGGGGCAGGTGCAGAACCCCGCGAGAGGAGTGGCAAGGAAAGGAAACCAGGTTACAAACTCAGATAGAGGCCCTGGCAACTTTCATAAGCTGAAGTTGTGTGATGCCCACGGGAGGATACGTGCTAAAATCAAGACTTCCTTTTGGTGAAAACTCAGTGAGCGAATGCAGTGCCCGTTCCTACCAGTCTGTGGTTTGGTCTTTTTACTGGTGTGGGAGAAACGCAGCTCCTTGCTCCTCCTCTGATGAACACGTTGAGGTATTTTACATTTTTGGTGAGCAGCCGGCCTTGAATCAGAGGCAACTTCTGAGCGTCGCCTTGGGCCCGTGTCTTGGGCTCCGTAAAACCTGCTGCATGGGGCTTCCCACCAGGCTGACCCTCTCCTGCCTTTGGCTTTGCTGTCTGCTGCTGCCCTTGCTGATGCCTTTTCTCGCCTTTTTTACTACCTTCAGGGTCACAACAACCTGGGATGCCGTATTACACAGATCCGGGCGGACCTGCGATGAATCCCATGGCGATGGCTTTCCACGTCCAGCCCAATTCCCCACAGGGGAACCCAGTTTATCCGCCCCCACCTTCCTACTGCAACACGCCGCCTCCCCCCTACGAGCAGGTGGTGAAATCCTCCACGTGAGGACTCTGTGGCGCTCGGACCTGACTCTGTGAGAAGAAGGTGCCATTACAAAGTGACAGAGATGGAGGGCATCTGCCCTTTTGAACACTTGCTGGTTCTCTCAGTCCTCTCTCCCTCCCTTCCCTGCACCTTTCCTCATTAAAGTTACTTGCAAAGGGGTGATTTTTAAATTTTTTGGTTTTGTTTTTGCAGTAGAGGTGGATTTTTTTTTCTTTTGTCTTCATAATGAGAAAAGTCGTCTTTGTAATGCTTTTAATGGAAACCTATATTTAAAACCTGTATGTCTTTCTCTTTATTTATTGTTCTGACTGTGTGTATTATTGCATTGTGGCAGGCGACCAGGGACAGTTCTTTACACAATCCCAAAATGATGTACGTTCTCCTAAGCCCTCATTAGAAGGAATGCCCTAATTTAAAGGAGTCGAAAGATAAAGAGGGTAAATGTAGAAGAGGCCGAGCAGTGCTTTTAGTAGGGAGGGTGACAACCATCTTCTTCATTTAGAGATTTCTTGCAAATCTCTGTTCTGATGCCCAGGAGTGATGCAGTGGGACAGAAGTCACTGAGGGAGAGGGTCACCAGTGTGGGCTGAGTCATGGCAGTGGCTTTGCCTCAGAAGAGAGGACTTGATTGCTATAAATGAAGGAGAATGACCAGGGCTTCAGTGCTTCTTGGCCAGCGCCTGTGCTCTGCCTGTGGCCTCTTAAGCCTGGCTTCCCTTCCACTTTTGTTGCCCTATAGGTTTTGTTTTGTGCTGTAGCTAGAGGTGAGATTGTTGGAAATGGCTAACAACTTAAATGTCAGGAGTGAGAGGGGAGTGTTACAGCGTTGGAGCTACTCGTGCTCGTGCCTCTAGATGTGTTCTGAAATACTGAAAAATAGAAAACCAAAAATAGAAACTATAGGTTTTGTTTTGTGCTGTAGCTAGAGGTGAGATTGTTGGAAATGGCTAACGACTTAAATGTCAGGAGTGAGAGGGGAGCATTACAGCGTTGGAGCTACTCGTGCTTGTGCCTCTAGATGTGTTCTGAAATATTGAAAAATAGAAAACCAAAAATAGAAAAGATTCCTTCCCTAGATGGAAAAAATAATTATCAGAAAGGAACTGGAGCCCACCCCCAAATTTGTTCCCTTTGAAACTGGTGGGAATTTTGTCAGTGGGAAAATCATAGTTTTGTTACGGTCTTACTGCAGCCACCAAGTTACTGTAGTTGAGCTGTTGTCTCCAGGTGGCAGGTTTGGGATACACTCTCCTTCCTGTGCCAGAGTCATACGGCCTTTCTGCAAGCCCAGGGCACAGATGTTTGGGCTTTGCAACTGCTGCTGGCACTTAGATCCCTGTTCACCCTGCTGTGCCTGTTCCCAGGGTCCCAATTTGTGCTTGGGCTGTCACCACCATCACACACAAAGCCTCTTTCCTGGGAGAGCTGTTTGCTGTGTCCATCTCCAGCAAGACATGAAGCCACACTGAGGAGTGACTGCCTGTCAGTGGCACCGTCTCACCTGCTGCGTACTCAGAGTCCTATTGCTAACAAGTGACAATCCCACTGCTTTTGCTGCTGAAGGATTTGCAGGAGCAGCACAGCTGAGAGTTAGGAACTGGGTATGGCCCTTTGGGTTCTGCATCCTCACTGCGGCTCTAGCTCGGGCACAGGGGGCAATCTGAAGTAATCCAAAAGGGCCATGTTGCTCAGGGAGCAAAAGTTTTGTTGTGCTGTTGATGCACCTTCCTGCTGCCAGCAGCTTGTGAGAATTTGTTCTTGGAGAGCAAGCTAAATTTGCAAAACTGACAGAAAAGAGCATCCTTTTGATTATGCACGAGTCAACTTACCAGGCAAACCGCTAAGGGACATTGTGTTTCTGAAAGCTGCTGGTGCTGATAATAGTCATTTACTGAAGCAGAACTAGCTTCTGCAGAGCTCATTAGAGCAATCTTGACTGGGTGAAATTGCTACTGAAGTAATCGCATGGCAGCCAGGGAATACAGTAAAGAAGTCTGCAGTTTGTGCTACTGATGGGAGTGGGGAGAAACCTGCCTCGTTTGGTGGCACTAGAGTGCTGCCTCATGTTGTGCTACATCGCCCAAATTCCTTTCACTATGACCTGCCTTCGGGAAGCGCAGCTGGACTCGCCAAGTCAGACAAAGCTGTTCCTGTGATGCCGTAACCTGCAGGACTTACTTAGTGAGATGGCCTGGTCACAGCCACATTAAAGCCAAAGGGAGTTGTGATGATACCAGCTGGATCAGGATTTGGCCTGAAGAAAAAGGACTTTGTTGTATCAAACCAACAGGAGGTTCCTGTGAGCACTTGAAAGCAGTGATTGATTTGGGTTGCATTTCGATATGTGTCTCAGTGATAAGGGCTAGGAGGGTAGAAAATGGCATCATGCAAAGTTCTGGCGCATCAACATGTGTGACCACGAAGATGGTGGAAAAAAGGTTTCTCCAGGAGTGTGGAGCTCATTCTTGGAGCTGTTGCAGGGTTAGCCCAAGGTTCTGAGTCTGCACTTGCACTTACATTATATTCTATAGGAGGCCAAATCAGAGCATATCCTCCTATATTTGCTTACGTTCAACACATACTTCAAAAATGTTGACTGGTATCTACTTATGAGAAATCTACCCTATCTCCCTTTTACTCTGCTATGTGCTATTATGGATTAAAAATAACCCACCCAAATTCTAATAATTTTTGTAATTATTTTTCATTAAACTTAAAAAATGCAAGCAGGCCCAGGTAAGACTTTTTTTGACTTAGTAACATTGGATTTAGGAAGGATAAAATTATTTTCTGAGCTTCCCAGAGCTGATCTGGCCCACGTTGCTTAGCTAGATTTAGATCTTCCATAATCTACCATTTAAAGTGTTTTGACAGGCAGGGCTGCTTCACAATCAGTTGGCTGTTTAATTTTAAGTAGTGAAACATAAGAGGGGCTGCTGCTGTGCCAAATACCAGGTATTCATGTAAACACTGGGAGAGAACTGCCTGGCAAGGCACCGCTTTGGTTTTCTTAAATATCAGTGTTTGCTGCAGACTTCCTCGCATGGGAGTGGAGCAGAGTGAATGGGGGGGGAGAGCTGCACACTGCTTCTCTCCTATTGCAGCATTGCTTCTTCCCCCTATATCATTGGCTGGAGACCCTCACCCGTTTACCCTCACATTGGAGTTGACACTGAGCCAAGGTAGAAACACTTTTCAAAAATATTCCAGGAAGAAAATGCTTTCTCCTACTGTGCCTGAGGGACCAAGCATGTACTATCATGTGTGCAGTGCAGGCTCGGGGGCATTTAAGGTAAGGAAAAGCACATTTTGTAGATGATCAGTCAGTAGGTGCATCTACCTGCACACCACAACCCTATGTCTAAAATCATATGCATTCAGAATTTAACACTGCTTATGCCACATCGTATGGTTGTGTATGCACTATTTACGTTTTTTTTAAATCAAATCCAACATATCTTTTTCTGTTAACAGAAATGATGACAGACCTCTGATGTTAGATGGTGCTAAGTTCTTTTATATTATGACAAGAGTTGGGCATTTTCCTCATAGGATTCGCTAGTAGCCTCCTACAGTGGATACGCTGTATATTGAAGTTCTACGTTTGGTGAAGTATTTTGCAGTGTGGCTGTTTTCTTTGCTAATGCTGGTGGTTAACACTACCTCTTAAAATACACACACACTCCTCTCCAGGCAGTTGCTTGGTCTCCTACTCAATACACAGCAGCTGTGTTGGTTCCTTGCAAATTGCTCACATGCCCTTTTCCTGGTTGCCTTGCTTGGGGAATTGTTCAGGTTTCCTTTTTTGCTTGTTTTCCTTTTTACTTCCTACTTAAAAAAATGGAGGGGGGTAGAGGAAGAAGGGGGAAGCCTGTAACTTCTCTTGGTAGGGACATGTTAACAAAATAAAGCTGATCTGGGTGTGTATATTTGCAAACTTACAAAATCGGGTTGGTTGGAGGGTGGAGCAGCACTTGGTCTTTCTATAGTCTCAGGCTTCTGCTACTCTATTCAGAGTTTCTTTTCAAATGTGTTTTATTAAAGTAACTTTAGATATTGCTCTACCTAATCATTTTTATTGCTCTTTACTGAGAGGTATTTTTCCAAAAGCTTTATGTGAGCAAGTAGAGCTAAAAGTGTGATTGGCTGTGGGCAGAAGAGGACAGTATCACAGAATCATAGAATGACAGAAAGGTTGAGGTTGGAAAGGACCTCTAGAGATCATCTGGTCCAACCCCCCTGCTCCAGCAGGGATGCCCAGAGCATGTGGCACAGGTGGCAAAACCCACCAGGTGGGTTTGGAAGATCTGCAGAGAAGGAGACTCCACAGCCTCTCTGGGCAGCCTGTTCCAGGGCTCTGTCACCCTCACAGTAAAGAAGTTCTTCCTCACATGGAGGTGGAACTTCCTATGTTTCAACTTGTACCCATTCCCCCTTGTCCTGTCACTAGCCACCACAGCGAAGTGTTTGGTCTCATCCTCCCTACATTCACCCCTCAGGTACTTGCGCATGTTGATCAGATCTCCTCTCAATTTTCTCTTCGCCAGCCTAAACAGGCCCAGCTCACTAAGTTTTTCCTCATAAGATAGATGCTGCAGTCCCTTAATCATTTTTGTGGCTCTACGCTGGAACTTCTCTAGAGGCTTCATGTACCTCTTGTACTGGGAAGCCCAGAACTGCACCCAGTACTCCAGGTGCGGCCTCACCAGAGCTGCTCCCTCAACCTGCTGGCAACGCTCCTCCTGATGCAGCCAGGATCCCATTGGCCTTCTTGGCCACGAGGGGACACTGCTGACTCACGGTTAACTTGTTGTCAACCAGGACTCCCAAATCCCTCTCTGCGGAGCTGCTTTCCAGGTGCAGGACCCTGCACTTCTTGTTGAACCTCAGAAGGTTCCTCTCTGCCCAAGTCTCCATCCTGTCTAGGTCTCTCTGAATGGCAGCACAGCCCTCAGGAGTGTCAGCCACACCACCCAGTTTGGTGTCATCTGCAGACTTGCTCAGGGTACACTCCGTGCCCTTGTGCAAGTCATTGATGAACAATTTGAACAGCACCAGGCACAGTACTGGCCCGTGGGGGACACCACTGGCCACAGGCCTCCAACCAGACTCAGCCATTTATCACCACCGTCTGGGCTCTGCCATCCAGCCAGTTCTCAAGCCACTTCACTGTATCATCAGGTTCATCAGACACGACTTTCCCTTGGTGAATCCATGCTGTCTACTCCTAATCACCTTCTTTTCCTTGACATACCTAGAGATGGTCTCTAGGATGAGCTGCTCCATCACCTTTCCAGGGATGCAGGTGAGGCTGACCGGCCTGTAATTTCCCGGCTCCTCC